TGATCTTTGGTCTTCACGTGCCCATGATAGTTATCTTGGAATTACTTGTCATTGGCTTACAGATTCATTTGAGTTGCACAAAATTGTACTTGAAATTGGAGAGTTGGATGATCATTGCGCAGATGATATTGTTGAATCAGTTAGTTTTGTTCTTGATAAATTTAATATTAATCATCAAAAGGTTTTTTCTATTACTACAGATAATGGCGCAAATGCGGTACAAAAAATGGATGTTACTAATGTGAAGTGCGCTGGACATATATTACAATTAAGTGTAAATTTAGGGTTAAAGGAGATTGATAAACTTATTTCAAAATGTAAATCACTTATCTCTATTTTGTCAAAAGAAAAAAAACGAAAGCAACTTCGTGAGGCTCAGTTACAAATTACTCCAGGCCTCAAAAAACCACTAGATGTTATTAAAGATGTAGATACTAGATGGAACTCTACCTTTTATTCTATTGAACGTCTTGTATATTTAAAACCTGCTATTATACAATTATATTCAACTCTTAATAATCATACTGTTAGGGAAATTAGAAGAGGAGCGGAAATGATGAGTTCTTTTCTTCCTTCAGATGATGAATTTGAATTATTAAATGAACTTATTATAATCCTTTCTCCTTTCGATGAGGCAACGCAATTTTTAAGTGGATCCAAATACCCAACACTTGGCTTTATGACACCAATGTTGGAAGAACTCACTCGCCGGCTCAGGCAATTTACTGGACAAATTTATAAAGCAATTCTTGTGAAAGATACGATCTTAAATAACTTAGTTGAACGTTGGGGAGATCCAAGTGAGATAGGATTGTGCTGCTCTTTTCTTGACCCACGATTTAAAAACTTAAATTTCTGTACTAGTGATTTACGCCGCACAACAATCCAAATTATGCGTCATCAATTTAATGAACTAATACAAACTACTAATGATAACACCACACAAACCACTAATGATAATATAACCTTAACATCACCTCAACGTAAAAAACCTAAAATGGCAGTATTTTTTTCTTATTCACGAACAGAAAGCACTAATGCTGTACCTGATGAATTTGACCGGTATTGTGAAATACCTGAAATTCCCCTTGAAGAAGAATTCTGTCCTTTGATTTGGTGGCGCCAAAACAAAACTCTTTTTCCTACCTTGGCAACCTTGGCAAGACGATATTTTGCGGTGCCAGCTTC